CAAGAATGGGCCATAATTCATTCATAAGGCATTCAAGAGACATTTCTCCATGTCCACTCTGGACCCTAGGCAAATAGGACAGGAGCTCACAGTGGATAAAGGAGAGAGGCCCTGTTTGTGCCATGTGTGCTAATGCCCATCAACTAGGGATACAAAAGTCCTTTACTAGAGATTTCAGCACATTTCCCCTTGTGTAGATATGTGGAAGGACTAGCAATGGTCATAAAGGAAATTCACTCATCATGCAATAAATATTACTGAGCACCTACCACTCACCATGTTCAAAGTGCTATGGCAAGTAAAATCTCCTAAGAGGCTTAAAGTCTAGTAGGAGAGATAAGTATAAATACACAAAAGGGAGAATGTGATCAAAGTGTCACAGAAGAGACCAGACAAGGGGCTGGGGAAGGCAAGACTTCGAAAAAGGCTGTGGTTGATGACCTTAATGGTTTTGGGTCCTCATTCCTCCCTGTGTCCGTGTCCATTGCCATGGGACTTCTCAGCACTCTCTCACTGAATGTAAGTTGTAATTCCTGTCCCAGGATCATGGATAATAGCACAGGCCACATAAGCAGGGTATTTTAAAGTGCTCATGTGATTGTTCTCTAAGGCTTCTGCCATTGCCACAAGAAGAATGTTCTGGGCTATGTCCCTGGTCCCAGAAGAGTCTCTGGAAGTAGGACAGGCAAACAGAACCCATGTTCTAAGAACAGGGGAGGGGGTGAGGACCCTCAGAGTGCCCCAATCCGGTTCATGGGTCAGTCGGTGGTCACCTCGTTTTGACAACATTCCCTAACACGAAAAATTGAATTTGTAATTGCATTCCACTTCAATGCCTAAATGGCAGTATCAGTAGGCGGATGGGTTAGAGGCTACCACACCGACCAGTGCAGGTCTGTGAACTCCCTTCACCTCCCTTCTGCCTCTTCATCCTCTGCAGCCAGCGGCGGGGAGCTCCCTGGATTGTGAGCATCTCCGCACCTGGAATGCCATGTGGTCTGTCTTAGTTACCAAGTTTGGTCCTCAGAAGCTCAGCCTGGTGTCCAGCTGCCACCTGCAGGATTTGGAGAGTAATGGGCAGAAGTTGGCCTGGTCCCTTATCCCTGGGGCCCCTGGTCTTCACTAGCTTTACCCAGAGACACTCGACTGTAGAGAGACTGGCTGCTGAGAATGATTCTGGACATATTATCAAACTCTAGGGAGATGCCTTACTGGAGAAGCCCCGGGCTCTCATCTGCCTTTTTTATGGAGGTAACACGTGGTAAGGGTCTGGTTGGGCCTTCCTGATTCAAAAGGGGTCAGGGCTTGTTTCCAAATGGTAAGAAGTACCTCCCGACATTTCCAGAATAGCTGGGCTTTCTGTAATAGGCTCCTGCAGAGATTTTGGGGTTGAAGGGTATGGCCTAACTCTGGAGGAAACTCAACTGCAGACAATGGATGTCTGCTCTGAAGTCAGTGGGTCTGAAGGCCTTTTTTTCCATTTGAGCCCTTATGGAGAACATAATTCATGTTTATCAGTAGCAATGCTTCTCACACAAGGGCTCATGTTCCCCAACGGGAGGTTCTAGATTTCTTGAGGGAAAGGTCGTATGTAGTATAGAACTGGTCTTTTCAAACTTCCAGTCATGAAAGCAATGTGGAGCACACACACTGACATCCCCTACCCTCAACTTCAGCACACACAATGGCCATATATAGTATTTTAAATATTGAGCTAATGCAAAGTCAAGAAGGATAGATAACCAGGTTCCAGCAGCACTGCAACAATGCACAAGGCCTGAGAAAATCATGACAGGCTGAGGAACTCTGGTCTCAGGCTCCATACAAGGCCAGGAATTAGGACAACTCATGGACAACTGAGATTTTGCAACTGGGCTCTGTGTAAGGACAGGAGCCAGGAATGAGACCCAGTCCACTAGGTAAAATATTAGAACCTTTAGCCTTCTACCTGTAGGAAGGTGGGACCCTAATTGATTCTCCATACAGTGTGGAAACCTCATAAAAAGGGACATGAAAACATGTTTGACCTTGTAGAGATCCCATGTGAGACTGCCTCAAAAACTTCCTGTATAAGGGAGGTGTCCTCAACCCCAGGTGCTTGTGGGATTACCTCAAATGTTAACTCCTACTGAATAAGGACAACGAATATAAAATATATGAGGAAGTCCAGCACCACTCAATAATTAATTAACTCAGCAGTTTTCTCCGGGTATCTTTTGTGTATCAGGGGTTAGAGATACATCAGGGCACAAAGTTAAAAACTTACTACACTGTATGTTAACTCGCTTGAATTTAAATTACAAAACAAAAACAAAAACAAAACATAAAAACTTTGTAGTTAGAGCTGACTTTTAGGTTGGGAGTGACAGACATTAAATACGCATTGCACTCACTGATGATTGAAGTTAGAGAGAGAAGCAAAGCAGGAAAGGGGATTAGGACATAGTGGAGACAGATGCCACAATATTACAAATATCATGATCAGGGAAGGCCCACAGACATGATGAGTGGAGTCAAGTGGATTTTTGGGGAAGAGCAAATGCAGATGCCCTGAGGCAGGAGCGTGCTGGAAGTTTTAAAACATAGTCACGAGGCCAGTGCAGCTGAAGAGGACTAAGAGGGAAAATAATAGATGAAGCCAGAGAGGTGAGCCAAATTTTTTTTGGGGGAGGGGTAAGGCTTTATGGCATTGCAAGTCCCTGGTTTTTAAGCAGAGAAATGACACAATTTGACTTACGTTTTAACAGGAGTTAGGGTTGCTCTAGGATTTTTTGACCCAATTAACTGGAAGCAGGGAACTCAGATGGGAAGACCAAAGTTAGACAAGCATCTCTGGGAAGGATAAGGAATTCAATTTTGGACGATGTGAAGATATGGGGTAGACAGATGATGAATTGAGGGCTAAAGGAGGCTATCTGTGCAGGAGGTGTGATTGTGGAGGTGTAAGCATGGAGAGAGGATCAGAAACCACATAATCAGATGAGATCACTAAGGACGTGAGAGAATACAAAAAGCAGAGATTCGAAGACTGAGAACCAGGGAATTCCAACATTATGGGGTCAATAGTCCACAGGCCCAACAAGTAGAATTTATTCCAGATAAGTAAGGAATAATTGAGTGATTTGAAAAGTAAGAATGCTGAAAATGTTCAAGTCGGTAAAAGAAAGACTAGCATCCACAAAACAAGGAGAGATCATGAAACATGAACAGGCAGATATGATGAATAAGAACCACCCAAAAACCCTACGAATGAAAAATATCATTCCTGCAACAAGGAATCTCAATGGATAAGCAGCAGACTAGACATAGCTGAAAAGTTACTGAATTGGAAGACAGAATGGAAGAAATCCACCGAAGTGAAAAACAGGTAAAAAATGTCTTCAGGTGGCATTTCTATTAAAAGTGCTCACGGGGCAAGCTCCTTACCTTCCAGGCTAGCAATCACTGTTCGAAGCGGTCAAACTTTTGAATCAGGGTCCAGAAATGGAACAAAACTCTTTAACATGGAGGAAAAGGTAATTTATTTCTAGAATTGGGAAGACGTGACGACTGGATTGAAGACCTCTGCCGAGGGGAGCTAACACTGGCTGGCTCCGTAGTGTGTGCCTGTCTCTGCAGGATGCTTGCCAAGGCTCTCCACGAAGCTTCCCCGGGTGAACCTCAGGATCGGTGCTCACCTGAGGGGAAGTGACTTTGCACTGTAGATTATTCCTTTCCGGGAAGGTCAATTATATACCCACCTCTGAACACTTGCTGATCATGTATCTTTCCCGGTCAAATGTATCATGCTAATAAGTTCATCAACCATAAAGCCTAGTGATGGATTGTTTCTCCCCTCACCGTGCCGTTGTGGGAAGGAAGAAAGATGAAGACGACCCAGGACTTGAGAGGATCAGATCCAGAGTTACCGTCAGCTTCTGAGCTGTCCACATTAGTCTGGTTTTAAAGAAAAAAAAACAAAAAAAAACAAAAAACCACTCCAGACCTATGTTGCTCATAAACAACTTTTATTTTTGTTCTCAGTATGTGCCCTTGAAGATTCCAAAATGTCTGGAGTTTCTGATTCTCCTGGGACCAGAGGTAAAAGCATTGTACGGAAACACTCAACCTTGGCGCCTCGCTCTCTCCCGAGGAGCTAAGTTTGAAGGCCTCAGAGAGAGGAAGCAGACACACCTTATTCCGAGATGGGTAACACAGTGAACAAAGAATTAGTAAAACATAGATTCAGCGTAGAGGGCTTCAAATATACATATTCTATATATATAAACCTGTTATATAGGATTTCAACTTATTGGTTTCCTTGTGATTTGTAATTAAAGCACAAATGATATAGATGTTGTACACTGCTGACTTCCCCTTCTCAGCACCCCCCTCCCTCCCCAACATAAATAACATTACAAAGGTCAGGTGATCCTAAGAGTTTTTGTTGTTGTAAATATTTTGTTTTTTTAAAAATCATTTCCCCTTCCTCCCCTGCAAACTACCTCTGAGGGTTTGTGACATAGCAGCATGGAACGGACACGACGGGGGACGGCACGGATCTAATGGCGAGAGCGCACGACGTTGCTTCTCACTGGCACCGGGCGGGCTTCTGCATTTCCACTGACAACAGACGCTATGACAGGAAGCAGAGGATGCGCAGCGCCGCTTTGTCCTCTGCCAACGAGGAAAAGGAGGTGGCGGCGGCCGGCTGGACCACTGAGAAAAGCCCTAAAGGCATCGAGGTTTTGGAGACAGAGCACAGCTCCAGAAACGTCTTGGCTCAGTATTTACACGGTATCTTTCTGCTGCATTTTCCTTTTGAGAAATTTGTGTTTCTGAGGTTGGCTGGGGGGAAAGAGAGGACTTCAAAACAAAGACAAACCGATTCCCACATACGTAAAAGTCCTGTTGTAAGTCCTACTCAGTTATTTTCACACACATCATTAAAAGTAGATACTGACAATGATTGGTTTCTTTTCTTATTCTTTTTTTTTTTTTTAAGAGTGTGAGAAGAGAAAGAAATGAGAGAGAGAGAGAGAGAGAGAGAGAGAGAGGGAGGGAGGAGGGTGCACTAAGGTGAGCGCCGTCCCTTCTTTAGCATTAAGTGACACTGGATGGTCTGGATTCGGTTCTTGGCCGGAACGAACTCAGGCTGCAGCTTCAGCGTCGATTCATACCACACGAGAGCTTTCTCAAACTCCTCCTGTGAGGGGCAAAGGGGCAGACGTGAGTGGGACACCACCCCCTGGCCAAGTGTGTACCGTGACTTCTTTCTCCTCAAGAAACAATTCTGTGCTAGGAGCATCCTGCAGTGTTTTCTCAATGGGTTGACATCTCTGAGGAAAACTCCAAGGTCTGCAAGGGAACATCACCCCCAAGGCACAAAGAAAAGGAAGGCAGAGCCCAAGAGCCAAAGGGGAAGGGGAGGTTGACTTTACAAAGGTCTGACCCAACAGTGAGGACCAATATTGCCGAATACCGGCCACAAGCCAGGCACTGTGCCGGGTGCTTTATGAAAACCCTCCATTTAATTCTCACAGAAACTTCTAGAACTGTGCCAGGCAAATGCTCCTTATGCCTCTGCCTGAATTTTCTACTATAGCTAGAAAGATGGCAGTTAAGTGTCTCAAAGTCAGGTGCTATAAATTTTGAAACTTTTTTGTTCTCCCTAGCATTTAAAAATATGAACATTGTTTGGAAACGATCGCTGTCATACTGAAGGCGTTCATCTTCTACTTAGACCAATACTCTCAAAGAAGAGCCCAAACCAAATGGTTAAGTGACGCCTTCTAGGCAAATGAAAGGCAGAATTCCTCATTCACAGTAGCAAATTTCACATTTACTGGGGACAAAAATAGATTCTTTGATTCTAAGAAGCAGAGAAGGAAATCTGCACATTCAGCAATACCTACCTGGCCGAATTATACTCGCTACGTTTCAAGTCAAGGCTGACACATAAAACCCCCAGCCTCAAGCTGCTCATTCTATTAACCTTTATTGAGAGCACCTTGGGGATCGCCCCGTGTGGGGCCCCAAGCTATAGATGAAAATGCATGGCACGATTCTCATATTAAATTCAGCTATGACAGCTTCTAGAGGACCCCTGGGATTTCAAGTTCTGAAATCAGTCCTTGTTTCTGACCAGAATGAGGGTTCTAGATGATGGCTTCGCCATTTTCTCTGGAAATGGTACCCCATGAAACTAGTGGTATGCCGCCATCAGGGAACACGTGATGAGCACCTAGTGTGTGCCAGACACTGTGAAGTGCTAGGGACAGAAAGACGAAGAGGAATCTCTTCCCTAAGAAGCACACCGTCTGGGGGAGGGACAGATACTTAAAAAATTCTAAAACAAGGTGAAAACAGAGACATGTACAGGGCGTCATGAGTGCAGTGATAATAGGCACCTAGCCCCACCTGAAAACAAGGGAGCACAGGTGAGTCTGTCCACGCAGGTTTTCTGGAACGGGTGAAGTCTCCAGAAAATTGTAGGTCAATCTGACGCCACTGTCAGTGTGAAACTCATGGGGAGGGGCCACACAGTTGCAAGTACTTAGATGGGTTTCATGTACTGTGTTTTTTTTAATTCATAAACTCCTTAGCCATAAAATATGCCTTTGGTGGGGCTAGCAATGAGAGGCGCAAAGCGTACAGGAAACTGGAGGACACTGACACCGTCAAGGGAGTTTGAAGGCACAGGCGTGCCGGGGAGAGGCAGCGGCGGAGGTGATCTGCTCCGCTCATGCCAGCGACCTCACCATCGCCACGTAGACGTTGCCCAGCGTGAAGTGGTTCACGGCGAAGTGTGGCGCGATCTCCACGGCCATGGTGGCTACTATGACTGCATCATTCCAGAGCTTGGCGTTGTGCAAGATGTTAGCCAGGCTGATCAGGGGCACGTCCTGGGAAAGGAAGGAGAAGGCTGAGAAGGAAAGGATACTGATTTTTGGGCTTTGGTTCCTTGTGGTCCTGACCATAAATAATGCAGTAAGTTTCTCCTGACGAGTGACTGAGTAATGCAACCTAACCCGCCGGTCTTCTGTTTGCTACTGGCCCATGACCCATGGGGAGATGCATGAAGACATAAACCAATGCATTACTTGTTTCCTTAGGAAAGTCTGGTCTCAAAACACAAAGCAGAGGAGTCAACTGAGTAAACAGTCTGCTTAGTGAAATTGCTGGTTTACTGCTGGGGCAGGTTCCCGACTCGTTGTGACTGGTAATGAACAGCTCATGGCCAGTTCACAGACCACACTTGGAGTCCTGCTGTCAGAGAGTCCAAGTGTCTTCTGCAAGGCCCATGGCATCATCTGCTTGAAGCAGGGGCCGGCAAACTGGCCTACAGGCCGAATCTAGCCTGTTGCCTGTATTTTAAGGTTTGATTGGAATGTGACCATTCTTGTTCCTTTACGTATTTCTGCGGCTGTTTCAGGCCGGCATGGCAGAACGGACTTGACTCCAACAGAGGCTGTCTGGCCCGCACAGCCTCAATGTCTTACTGTGTAGCCCGTTACAGGAAAGGTTTCCTGACCCCTGACCTAGAGTGTCCTCTGGCTGAAAGTACAGCGCACAGAATGGTGGGCTGAACAAATAGCAACACTGTTACCAGCACAAAGACTTAGTCCTCTAAGTGTGCACCCAGCAAGCACCACCTGTATCACACTGTACAGGGTTCTCCAGGAGATACAGAAGCCCTAGGGAAAAAGGACCCACCTTTGTCCTTATCGGACACTCACAGAGTGAGATCATTATATGAGGTCACAGAGCTTTATAACTTGCCTAAGGTCACAAAGCCAGCAAGAGGCAGAGCTCCTGCCACCATTCCAAATGCTGCCCTTATGAGCAAACAAGACCCAAGCTGTGTCTTCAGAAAGTCTGAGATGGGGAGGCGAATGCAGAACTCAGCCGTGTGGCTACCACTGTGAGGTTGAAAAGCTGAACGTTCTCAGTCATCACAGCAATAACTGGCATTTTTGAAAAGACTGATGTGACACTGAGTTAGCAGGGCTTTCTGTTTTTGTGGAAAAAGCGAAGTCAGACAGAGACCAGGAACTGGCCCATATGTAAGAGATGGAAACTGCTTCAGTTTCAGGGTCTGAAAACAAGCTCAGATCAGCAGTACACATGAAACAAGTGTCACAGGCCTCCAGGTCCCTGGGTGTTGGCTAATCCCAGAAGGACTTGTGGGGTGATGGCCTACTGATGTACATTGGGTGGCTCTGCACACAGTGGAAGGGGCATTAAATGATGGAATCTTGAAGACTTTCCCTTGTTCCCATTTGCAGAGGCAGGGAAGGCGAGGGAGTACGTCTCACTCCCAGGCCTGCAGCACCATCACTGGGGTCAGAAGGTTCTTCCACCCTGTGCTCACCTCTTGCCACTACTTTACTGGCTATGCACGAGGAAGGCTCGTTGAAACCTCATAACAGGAAAGGACCGGGAGACAGAAATTTGCACCTCTGAGTCCCACTCACCTTCATCTGGTGTGGAGCGTAGTGGAGGGCCTGGCGGAGGCAGTCGATCGCCTTCTTTCCCTGGCCTTTCACTCTCCAGTAGAGGGCTGCCATGCTGGAAAGGACCCAGGAGGTCTGGTTCTACAAAGGAATGGTTAGTTGAGGCTGTTGTCTCTTAAAAAAAAAAAAAAAAAATAGCAAAGGACTCCTTGCCTGTGATACGAATTACAGATACATTCCCTCAGTTCTCAGATGTTTGCTTTTGGACCTCTGGTGTTTTTTTGTTTTTTTGTTTTTTTTTGCAATGCAGGCTTTGATTTCTACATAGTTCAGTTTATTAATTTAGATGGCTTCTGGATTTTTAGTTGTAGCTGACAAGGTCTTGCTTACTTGAAGGTTATCAAGAAATTTTTACATTTTCCCCCCAGAACTCCCCCCCCCCGAACTTTTCTAGTTTCATTTTTTTCACATTTAAATCTTTGATTCATTTGGAATTTAACTTGGTATAAAAAATATGGCTCCACCTTAAATGGTTACTAAGTTGTCCCAATAAGATTTAACAAATAATTCATCTCTCTTCACCCAGTGAGATGCTACCTTTACCATATACAAAATTTCAGTACTTAATTTAGATCTAATTTTGGATTTTCCTGTCTAGTTCATTTGCCCCTTTCGATGGATGGTCTCTAATTCCCGACCATCACTAAGCAGACAGATGGTCTCTAACTCCCAACCATCACAGAAAACCTGCCCTGATTTTTGCTTTCTATCTTATTTCTTTCTTCCAATGTAATTCTTTGGTAATTTTATTATTCTTCATTGTCAGGGCATATAGTATTTATATTGTTCTATCACCCTATTCCCCAAAGTTTGTTTTTTATATTGATTTTGCACTTAAACACATTCATTGACCACTGACATGACTTTTGTGTGGTTTCCCCAATCATGTCGTGGTTGACCGAGGTTCAGGCCAGTACTGTTGGTGGGCACGATATTCTTTGAGACTGTTGTTATGGGCTGAATTGTGCTTCTCCAAGACACATCTCAGCCTCTCGTACCTCAGAATGTAACTGTATTTGGAGATAAGGTCTTAAAGGAGGTAATTAAATTGAAATGAGGCCCTCAGCGTGAGCCCTTAATCCAGTAAGACTGGATTTATACGAAGGATTTATAGAAGAGGAAGAGCCACGTCAGGGTCCTGTGTGCAGAGGGAAGGCCCTGTGGAGGGGAAGCAAGAGTCTGGCCACCAGCAGCCTGAGGAGGGAGGCCTCAGAGGAAACCCATCCTGTCGGCACCCAGATCCTGGACCTGGAGGCTCCAGAAATGTGAGAAAACAAATTTCTACCGTTTAAGGTCCCTAGGCTGTGGTGCTTTGTTACGGTAACCCTACCAAACCCATAACATCATGTGAGTTCAAAACTTTCTGTCTTCAGCCTTCATACCTGAAGGACAGCTGGCTGGATATAAAACCATGGCTCATTCTTTCTTTCCTTGAATAATGCGTTGGCATTGTTCCATCGCCTGCTGGCACGGTCGGCTGCTGCAGAGAAATCTGAGACTGCCTGATTTATTCCCCCTTCTCAGTGACTTAGTGACTTGGTCCTTTTGATTGGTTTCTCAAAAGGATTCTTTTTTTAAAACTCAAATTATCTTTCTTTAATGCCAATATTTCACACATACGAAAGAACATGTTTAGGTAATTATATATACATAATAATTATATGAAAAAATATACCCCTATGCTATAAAACATAATGAATATCCCACACACTGCCACCCTGGTCTAGAATGAACTGGCAGCCAGTCATCTATGTGTTCTTAAACAATTCCAGCCTCTTGCCTTTTCTCCACAGGCACACACTATCCTAAATGCTGTGTTTCTTATCCCATTGCTTTTTCAAAGTGTTCTGTCACACACACACACACACACACACATTTGCTTCAACAATAAAATACTTAGTGTACTTCTTATGCATTATAAAAGTGGTCTAATGTGGTAAGGAGTTTTCTGGGACTTGAACTTTTTCTTTTTTTAAAAAAGATTTTATTTATTTGAAAACGAGAGATCAAAAGTAGGCAGAGCAGCAGGCAGAGAGAAAGGGGAAGCAGGCTCCCCGACAAGCAGAGAGCCCGATGCAGGGCTCGAACTCAGGACCCTGAGATCATGACCAGAGCTGAAGGCAGAGGCTTAACCCATAGAGCTACCCAGGCACCCCGGACTTGAACTCTTTACTCAACACTCTAGTTCTAAAATTCATCCATGTTGTGTGTAGCTTTAGCTCATTCAATTTCCTTGCTGCACAATGAAATGTCCATTAAGTGAATATATTACAATGCATTTATCCCTTTTCTGTAGATGGGGGCTCTGAAATATCTCCTGTTTTTAAGTTTTCTGTTGCAAATAAACGCGTAGAGTTTCTCTAGTCTAGAGTAGGTACCTATGGGTAGGCTTGCTGGTTCACAAGACATGTAAATGTCCAACATAGCAAGAGAATGGCGACTTGTTCCCTAGTACCTTGTACCAATCTACAGTTCCATCAGCAATGTTCAGAAGCGCTTCTTGCTTTCTAGCCTACTTCTTGGCGTCATCGGTGGTGGTGAAATAGCATCTTACTGTGGTCTTAGTTTGCATTTCCTGATCATTAGTGAGACTGATACTGTTTCTTGAGCTTATCGGCCACACGTATCTTCTTTCAGTGAAACGTCTGATGTTAATCTTTTATGTATCTTTCTATTTTATTATTTATCTTTCTCACTGATTTGTTTCTATGTTCTGCGTATCAGTCCTTGCAGGTTGAATGTGTCACACATACTTTCTCTCACTCTGTCTGGCTTACCTCTCTTTCATTTAAAAAATGTATTTAATTAAAAAAAAGTTTAAACTTTAATGTAGGTGAACTTAGTCACATTTTCTCTTCTAGTTAGTACTTTAATATCTTAAGAAATCATTTTCTATTCCAAGGGCAGAAAGATCACCTCCTACATTTTATTCCAATTTTTAAGGCTTTGTTTTTCATACTCCAGTCCTTAATTCACATGGAATTCCTTTTTTTGTATAAGCTGTGAGGTGAGGATGAATGAGCTCAGCAATTGCCCCAGCACAGCTTCCTGCAAAAATCCTCTCTCTCCCTGTTGATCTTCCACAGTCCAATGTATGTCAGTATGTTTCGGGGTTTTCTATGTAGTCCCCCTTGTCATTATTTCTGTTTATCCTTGAGCACAAGGCATTATGGCCTGTTTTATAATTTTTCATAAAAGTAAGGCAATTCTCACCTTATTTTTTTTCAAGAGTGTCATGTCTATTCCTTACCCTTCCATATAAAGGTCTGCTTTTCAAGTACCATAAAAAAAAAAAAAAAGAAAAAAAAAGAAAAACTTGTTGGTATTTTGTTTCTAGTAGCATTGACTCTATAAATCAAATTAGGGAAAACTGACATGTTTATGATGTGTGTTGTTTTATCCATGAACATTATATATCTTGGTTTATTTAGGTCTTAAAATGCCTTTCAATAAAGTTGTATCACTTTGGGCAGTCAGGGCTTACAAATTTTTTGTTAGATTTATTATTGGGAAACTGATATTTTTGTAGCAATGGAAATACTTTGAAAATCATGTTTTCTAATACTTTCTGTTGCTGTATAGAAATGCAACTTATTTTTATTGACTTTACAGGCAGCCATCTTGATAAAAATGTTATTTCTAAAAATTTGTAGATTCTTTTGGGTTTGCTATGTAGATGATCACATCATTTCTAAATAATACTTTGGTTTTTTTCTTCCTAATACGCCATTTCTTTCTTCCTTCCTTTCTTTCTTTTTTTTTTTTTTTGGTTTACTGTACTTGCTACGCTTTTGGTACAAATCTGGAAAAGTGGTGATGGTGGGCATTCTCTTTCCTGACTTCAAAGAATTATTTTAAATATTCCCCATTAAGAATCATCTTTGCTGAAATATTTTGTTGATTCTTCTCATCAGATTAAGGAAGGCTTTGTCTATTCTCAATTTGCATTAGTTTTAATGAATGGTACTGCATTTTATCAAATATAATCTACTGAAATAATTTCATAATATTAATCCTTTAATTTGGTTGATGAAATACAGGGTTTTCCTAGAGTTAGACCATTTTTGTATTTTTTGGGATAAACCCAACTTGATCAAGGTGCATCTTGTAAAAGAAAAATATATCCTGTCGGATTTTGTCTGTTAAAATTTGGCTTATGATTTTGATACCTATGTTTGTGAGTGAGCTTACAGTATTATTTTTTTCTCATGTCTTTGTCTAGTTTTGTTTTCAAGACACTGGTCTTGTCTCAAGCAATTAATTGGGAAGTTGTTCCCTTTTCCGCTGTCCAGAAGAGTCTATTTATATTGAGGTGGTGTACTTCTTAAAAGTCTGGTAGAATTCACTTGTAAAATCAATAGGCCTTGTATCCTTTGTGAGGAGATTTTTTTAACGTACTGCTGCAATTTATTTGAGTTATATTACCAAATCAATTTGGATAACTACATTTTTCTAGAAATTTGTCTTCTTTACAATTGTTTTGAAATTTATTGGCATAAAATTGTTAATTGTATCATTTTTCTTATCTCTTTAGCTGTAGTTCTGCTTCCCTTTTCCCTCAATATTGGTTATTTGTACTTTATTTCTTCTTGATTAATTTTGCCTGAGCAGTGCTTCAAAGAAACAACTTTTAGATTGTGGATCTCCATTCTTTGGTTTCACTGATTTCTGCACTTAATAACAGAACTTAAAAATATAAGAATCAAAAACTGATAGAAAATAAAATATATACAAATTCAGAGTTACAGCTGTAGATTTCAACATGCTTCTCAATGATGGACAGAAGAAATACACAAAAAAGTCAGCAAAGATAAAGAAGACATGAATAATATTATCAAACCACTTGACCTAAATGACATTTCTAGAATACTCTAACAGTAAAAGTATTCTTTTCTGAGGTACATGGAACATTTACCAAGACAGATCATATTCTGGATCATAAAACAAGTCTGAATAAGTTTAAAAGGACTTAAGTCATATGAACTATGTTCATTTACTGCAATAAAATTATAAGTCAATTAAAGAAAGAGATCTGGAAAATGCCCAATACTTGGAAACCCAAATAACATACTTCTAAATAA